CACCCCCCGAGACTTTGCTGGGCTGTTATCTGTGTAGAAGCAGATGTTCAGGCTTTCTGCCGTTTACCAGAGGTTGGGATTGAACTCAGCCCCTTAGAACTACCAACCTCTTAGCAGCCGAGCATGGAACCCTGCATTCTGAGGCTATGCAGCAGGCGTCCTGTTACACACACATGGCTGCTGCATGGACCCCGGGCAGCTGCTTGTCCTGTTGGGTCCTGTGTGTGTATCGAGTGCCGTTGGTTCTTGGTGTCTCTATCCTCACTGACTTTTGTGGATTTATCTCCTGTACGTCGTTGAAAATTGCATAGGAAGGTCCAGTTGTCTCAGCACCACTTAGGAAAGAGCTCATTTCTTAGAAACGTGTAGTCTTTGCTGTCTTGCAGACTGATTTTGTCCTAGGCTCCGGAGAGCCTTGTGCTGATTGTATTGGGATGTCTGGGATCAGCTACTTCAGGGAGAACTGATGTCTTTGTACCAAAGTGTAGATACACATTTCTATGGATGCAACTGCTTTGCCTGCATTTTGGGGCATTTAGACTTTCCTTGTGGGGGTGTTCATGGGTAGGCAGGTTGTCGAGCTTTGGAGATTGACCCCCCGGGGTTCTTGAGGTCCAGAGTGGTGTCCTTTTTTTTCACCTTCCCTTCCTGGTTTCACCGGCCCCCTGCCCCCTGACTTTCTTGGGTCACCCTCCTCTCTCCCTGTGAAGCCGAGCGCTGTGTTGAGAGGTGTCCTCTCCCTCTCGCTCTGCCTGTAGACTGTCAGGGTTGAGAGCAGGTGTGACATTTTAGTAAGCCCCTTTCATCCTGTGGATGATGAGCTGTGGTTTTCTTGTCTCACGTGTTAATGAGTCTGAAGAGGAAGGTTGCCGCCTGCCTCCAGGGCAGGCTGCTGTGGGGTGTGAAGTCTGGGGGCCAGGTCTGTGCCTGCGCTCATGAGGAAGTCCCTGCTTCCCCTGTAGACCCAGAAGGATAACAGACATCGCTAACAGAACAAAACCAAAGCCAGGCTCAGGCTGCTGCTTTGAGCCTGCTCACAGTGGCCCCACAGGACAAAGCGAGCTGTCCTCGGGGTTTCAGACCCGTAATCTGAGCACGTGTCGATGGCGTCTGGTCTGAGCCTCTACTGTGTGTTAGCGGCCAGCCCACTCTGCCTCTGTACAGAGCTCAAGCTCTGCCGTAATTCACAAACGTGGCAAGTGTCTGTAATTGCAGCTGGATCCTTGGCCTGAGTGGTCTGAACCCCTGTAATGTTACACGGGTAAGTCTCACAAAGGCTCTGAAGCCAAGAAGTGGTTCTGGTGGTGGCCAGCTATTTTGCATTTTATTTATTAGAACCCTTTTTACTTAATGTTGTCCCGTACACCTAATTGTGATTTTCTGCCGGTAAGGGATAGCTCTACATCTGACTCAGAGCTTGACTGTGCTATCAAAGCTTACATAGAGGTTCCGGCACACTTGATCGCGAGCCCATTGAGTGTATAAGGTGTGTGTTTTATCTGTAACGCCCAGAAGGGCCCGCTGTGCCTGGTTGTGGGACTCATTCATTGTGTTCCCTGCGCCCTAAGAGAGGCTCGGTCACAAGCCCTGCTCCTGTCGCCTCGTGTTCATCGGGTGGCATTTGGCACTTCTGCCTTTATACAGGGTGGAACGAGCTGCTTCTCGATGCACCACTCCTGGCCTCTGCTGCCTCTTGTGCCCCTTCAAGATGGCTAGGAGTCTCCATCTTGCTCATTCCAGTGTCCTCCTATGGCCCACAGCCTTCGGTGTGGCTGGATCCTGTGCCAGGCAGGTGTGGCTGTGGCTGCGCCCTGTGTAGAAAGCAATGGAGAGCCTCTGCCGGCGGCACCACCCAGTTTCCCAGCCAGGCTGGGCCTGCTGATGGGCCTTCCTTCTTGTGCAGACTTTCACGTCCTGTCCTGGTCCCCGCCCTCCCCAGGCTCCATCCGCGAGGAGAACGGCGTCAGGTGGCACGTGTGCCCCTACTGCAACAAGGAATTCAAGAAGCCCAGCGACCTGGTGCGCCACGTCCGCATCCACACCCATGAGAAGCCCTTCAAGTGCCCACAGTGCTTCCGGGCCTTCGCCGTCAAGAGCACACTGACGGCGCACATCAAGACGCACACGGGCATCAAGGCCTTCCAGTGCCAGCACTGCATGAAGGGCTTCTCCACCTCCGGCAGCCTCAAGGTGCACATCCGCCTGCACACAGGTGGGCACGCAGGCCGCCACCCTGCCAACCCTCCTGTTGTGAGGCTGGGGCTGCCAACCCTCCTGTTGTGAGGCAAGGCCCTGGTCTGATTCAGTGCCACTCACTGATGTTCCTGTCACAGGGCTCTGGGATAAACGGGTGGAGACACACACACACACACAGTTGTGAAGTGGGAGGGTGTGGCCAGAGGGGAGATCGTGGTCAGAATGGGCTGAGCTGGGCAGGGCAGGAGCCGTCAGAAAAGGCTGGTGGGCTGGCGCCAACCTGTGCTCCCCTTGGACAGTGGGCTGGGCTTTCTTTGATCCACCTGTAGTGAGTAGTTGGAAGAGCTGGAATCTTATTACTTGATTTTCTTCGGAATTTGCCTCGAGGGCCTATTCAGCTCCCGGTTAAGATATTAAGATTGTATGTTGGCGCTGGTGTCTGGGACAGAACCACTTGAGGTCATCCTGAAACGCACCTTTGCTCTCTGTAGGCGTTAGACCTTTTGCCTGTCCGCACTGTGACAAAAAGTTCCGAACCTCAGGCCACAGGAAGACGCATGTTGCCTCCCACTTCAAGCACACGGAGCTCAGGAAGATGCGGCACCAACGCAAGCCTGCCAAGGTCCGGGCAGGCAAGGCCAATGCCCTGGTGCCAGACATCCCTCTGCAGGAGCCCATCCTGATCACCGACCTGGGTAAGGGCTACGTGGAGCGCAGAAGAGGCTGCTCTGCCCCGTGGGCAGTCGTGTTGTAGTGGGGACCCTCCCCCCAATTACCAAGCGCCACATCCTCCGTCCGAGGCCTGTTGCTAATGATGTGCTTGCTCACGTGGGAGTGTGCTTTAGGGGCCAGGGCACCCCACACAGTGAAAACCCAAACCAGACTGGCCACCCAGGGGCTCATAGTGTGTGTTACTTGGCAGGGAGGCGTGATGTGTGTGTGTGTGTGTGTGTGTGTGTGTGTGTGTGTAGATATGCCCGTGTATGCTCTCAGGTGGGACGTGTAGGCACCAGGCAGTGGTGCTGATGGTAGGGAAGCAGGGTGCCCGTGTGGTCCTGCCTTGGGGGAAATGATAACCTGGGCTGCTGTGATGGTTGGGGGCTCGTCCTGAAGGGTGCCCAGAGCCACCATGGGCAGGCCTGCAGTGGGCACTGGGAAGGGCGGGGTGGCTGACTGGGCCTTCACAGTCAGGCTCTCGGTGAACCTGGAGTCATCGGTGGCAGCCCGGTGAGCCTGTCCACCTACACACCACTGTCCGCTGCGAGGGGCCCGGGGCTGGAGCTGGTGGTGCAATTCTTTGGGGAGAAGGCATCTTGTCCATGGGCATGGATGGCCAAGGTGGACACCTGCGACGTGGCACTCTCAGCCCTGGCACTGCAAATGGGACATGAAGCCCTGGGGCACACCGATCAAGCACCGGATGGGGAGCTCAGATGGTGGTAGGAGAGAGATGAGGCAGCCTGCTCCCATAGGACCTTGGGAGCTCTTGGAGACAGTGTCCTCTGCCTGCCCTTACTGCCCTTCCACACGGTGGCTACATAGGTCTGGAGTGAGTCACCCGACTGTACATCAAGTGGGCCCCAGTGCCCTCGCTGGCAGGCCCAATGGCCATTCGTCCTTAGACGTTCAACCCAGAGCAGCCTTCATTCAGAGGGCTGGGGACTTCTCCAGGTTGTGGGCAAATTGACTGGAAGGACAGTGGGATTTTTCCAGGAACTTTTTGGTAGCTTGAGGTGTGGGGTCTGCGCTCTCGAGTTCATAACCTCTCCCAAGCAGCTGTCTCTAGAATGTCCACATGCCTCTGGAGGCCAGAGCTCCTGAGCCGAGCCCATGCTGGATTCTGGTAGCACACGGTGGTGTCCGCTAGCTTCCAGGGTGGGACAGCCTCTGGCCGCCTCTGTGACGGTCGGTCCCTGCACTTGGTCCATGGCATTGTCTGTGTCTTTGTGGTGCCTCGTAGGTCTTATCCAGCCCATTCCGAGAAACCAGTTTTTCCAAAGTTATTTTAATAATAATTTTGTAAATGAAGCGGATCGACCCTACAAGTGCTTTTACTGTCACCGCGCGTATAAGAAGTCGTGCCACCTCAAACAGCACATCAGGTAAGGTGGCCAGGGCTCTCTGTACTCGGTGGAGAGCCCTGGGAGCCTTTGGAGTTGACGTGTGGTGACTCAGTATTTTACCTGGTGACCCCACTGGTTTCTCTGTTCCCCCTTGCAAGCCTCCCCTCACACTGAGGCCTGTGGTGGAGCTGGTGGCGGGTGGGTGTTCCCTCAGCCTGGAGCTGTGCTCATCCCAGCTGAGATGGTCTCTGGGGCCGGGATGTTGGCCAGCCCGGGCAAGGGCCCTCTGTAGCGAGTTAAATGTGAGTGCCCCGGCAGGGCAGGCTCAGGGCGGCGCTGTCTCTGCAGGTCGCACACGGGGGAGAAGCCCTTTAAGTGCTCGCAGTGTGGCCGTGGCTTCGTGTCGGCCGGCGTGCTGAAGGCACACATCCGCACACACACGGGCCTCAAGTCCTTCAAGTGCCTCATCTGTAACGGCGCCTTCACCACAGGCGGGAGCCTGCGGCGCCACATGGGCATCCACAACAGCCTGCGCCCCTACATGTGCCCCTACTGCCAGAGGACCTTCAAGACCTCACTCAATTGCAAGAAGCACATGAAGACGCACAGGTGCGCTAACGGGAATGGCGGCCCAGGCCCTGCCCTGTAGGCCCACAGAGCCCCCGGCAGCCTCACGCCAAACCTGCCGTTTCCCTTCCCGATACAGGGGGTGCTTCTGAAAGTGTATGGAAGCTTTGTGGTATTGGGGTGGGGGTGCGTGCGCGGGGACTGTCTTGCTGTCAGAGGGTGAGGAGGAAAGCTTCTGTTTGGGCTGGAGAGAGGCCTTCCGAGTGGCTACAGCCAGGCTGGGCTGGCGTGGACGTGGGCAGGGTTCCCATGTTGTAGACGGATTAGAGGGCCTGACTCGGGGTCTCCCGGAGTGGGTGACATGGCCCCCTAGTAAGGGGGGAGCTGCAGAAACAGAGACCCACACTCGGTCCTGGATGGGGTGGGGGGGTTAGCGTACAGAAATGCTTAATTTCCAGGGACGGGCGGTGCTGAGTGAGTGTTCTGAGCAGAGGGCAGTAGGCCAACCCTGTGCGGAATCCACGCTGCGGCCTCGGGCAGACGTTTGCTGGAGGAATTTGAAACCCCTTAACTTCCACTCCTGGCCCAGCGTTTGTTGTTCCATTTTCTCAAGAGGCACAAAGGTCCTGATGGATACACCAGCCCCAGCCGGACACCCCCCACCCCACCCCAGCACCCCCAACGCCCCCTGCAGATGGTCAGCTCGGACTCTGCGACAGTGCGCAGGCTGTCCGGAGGCTGTTGGTCTTTCTGGGAGCAGACGGCCCCATCCTACTCCTGGGAGTGGCTGCTGGGTGTGAACGCCTGACCTTGAGGCTAGCAGTCCAATGTGTACCTCACGGCCGCTGTACGCCTGAGATAGATTTTTGCACCAGGTCTTGATTTTGCAGGAAGTCAGAACGGCCCAGACCTGCTGCTCGGTTTGTAACACAGCTGACCAGGTCACGGGCACCAGTTGTGGCCAACGTGAGCCAGTCAGGTGTACACAGGCTGTGGGTGTGCATGCGCCCAGCACCTGCCCTGCAGCTGAGTTTCACGTTCACATGCATGGCATATGTATTTCTTCTCACACTTGGGCGGGTCCTGGGGCACATAGCTGAGAGAGCCCCAGAACGTGAGCGAGCGAGTGAGCAAGTGAGCGTGCGTGTGAGCCTCTCCTTGTCAGCTCTCTTGCTGCCCGCCAGACTTGGAAAGCACGTGTCACGTGTTTCAGACCCAGGCAGATTGTCCTGAGTGTTGGCGTGGACGCCGTCTCACCTGGTGGCTCCCGTTGGTTTAAGGTATGAACTTGCCCAGCAGCTGCAGCAGCATCAGCAGGCCACCTCCATCGACGACAGCACCGCAGACCAGCAGGGTATCCACGTGCCCACCCAGATGCAGGTGGAGATCGAGAGTGGCGTGCTGCCGGCAGCCACCACGGCGGTGGCCGCCCACCCCGAGGCCCTGCTGGAGCTGGGGCCACAGCATGTTGTGGGCACCGAGGAGGCTGGACTCAGCCGGCCCCTGGCCGACCAGCCCCTGGGAGCTGACGAAGGTAAGCAGGGTCGCTGCACCCGTGTAGGCCGAGTCCTGGCCCGCTCCTGTTCCACCGAGAGCCCGGCTGGGTGGACGGGGTGGGGTGTGCACCCTAGGCTCCAAAGTCCAGGCCCCTGAGAGCGGGAGGGAGGACTCCGTCAGCACCGCCTGCAAAGTCACGGCCTTGCCAGCCAGCTGCCAGCTCGCCCACCGAGAAGCATGACCCCCCAGGCTGGTGCAGACCCTCGGGCCTCAGCCCCTGTTGCTGCTGGCACACCAGAGGCTGGTGGGGTGCAGACCAAGAGCTGAGAGGGCTCAGTGCTGGTTCCCCTGTTCCGGTGGGCCCTCCGCAGGTGCTCAGTGACTTGGTATCTGGCCTGCGTGGTGGTCCGCTGGCCTCCCATGGGCATGCCCCTGCATTTTCCAGCAGCTCTGGGAGGGGCCGCGCCCCTCATACGTCCTCTGCCCTGGAGCCAGCCACCGGACTGCAGTTCACATGCTGAGCTGTGAGCGCCTTCATAACGTTGCCCTGCAACTTGGTGAAGCTTGAGCCACGTGAGACGCAGACGTGGAGAGCCTTCAGCAGCTTCCTGGGGGGCTCACAGCCCTTTGCTTCAGGGCTTCCCAGATTTCCTGAAGCCCCTCCCCCCAGTAGCAAACTTAGACTTATGAAGTAGCATTGAAAATATTTTTTTTTCTTTTAAAAAAAATCATTTTATTAGGGGCTCATACAACTCTTATCACAGTCCATACATACATCAATTGTGTAAAGCGCATTTGTACATTCATTGCCCTCATCATTCTCAGAACATTTCCTCTCCACTTTAAGCCCCTGGCATTAGGTCCTCATTTTCCCCCTCCCTTCCCGTTCCCCCCTCCCTCATGAGCCCTTGATACTTTATAAATTATTATTTTGTCATATCTTGCTCTGTCCGACATCTCCCTTCACCCAGAAAATAATTTTATGGTTCAGGGGCCACCACAACATGAGGAACTGTGTGAAAGGGTCACAGCATTAGGAAGGTTGAGAACCACTGGTCCAGGCCTTTCTCTGAGTCCATGGGGCCATATGCTTGCCAAGGGCTAGGGGTCTGCCTGGCCCTCTGCTGGCAGAGCTGCCCCTGGGCTTGCACCCCGCCATACCCAGCTTACTGCCTCTGCCTCCCTCCTCTCCTAGATGGCTTTGTGGCTCCCGAGCACCCTCTGCAGGGGCACATGGACCAGTTTGAGCAGCAGCCCCCCGCCCCGCAGGCCTTTGAGCCGGCGGCCCTGCCACAAGGTCAGTGGGCTCTGGAGGCACTTACTTGCTTGCTTGCTCAATGCAGGGCCACTGGGGGCCCTCTGCTGTGGACACGTTTATTTTGTCTCCAGCTCAGCTGTCTGGGGAGGAAGGTGAACAGCTGCACTCGGGGACGCTGTGGTCTCTGGGAGCTCTGGCTGGCCGCAGGCACCCAGCAGGCCATGGGAGGATGGTGTCTGCTTCGGGAGCAGAGGAGGGGCAGCTCGAGACAGGTGCTTGTGACGTTGGTTGAGCTCATCGCTTTCCTTCTGCACCAGGGTTCACAGTGACCGACACGTACAGCCAGCAGACTCCGTTCCCCCCGGTCCAGCAGCTGCAGGACTCCAGCACGCTGGAGTCCCAGGCCCTCTCCGCCAGCTTCCATCCGCAGAGCCTGCTCCCAGTCCCCGGCTCCGACACAGTCAGCGTGGTGAGCCCCTCTCCAAGGGGGCCACTTGCCTGCTTACACCTTCCTGGTGATGTGTGGGGTGGGCATTGGCTACTAACTGCAAGGTTGGCAGTTCAAACCCACCAGCACCTCCACAGGAGAAAGACGAGGCTGTCTGCTCCAGTAAAGCCCTGGATGAGATCTGATGGGCCGGAATGGGCTCGTTGGTAGCGGGTAGTCTTTGGGTTTGGGGTCAGTCATGGTGTGCTCCCTGCGTGGCTGGGGTGTGTCCGTGGGTGAAAGGTAGGCGCTTCGATGCTCAGTGCCGGCAGCTCTCTTCTTACTGGAGGGTCTCGAGAGCTCAGTGTGGCTGTCCCCTCTGGGCTCGCAGCCCGAGCTGCCGTGCCGTGCCGAGTCTTGCAGTGTGAGGACCTGGGAGACCGAGCAGAAGCAGGAGGACCTTGTCCTGCCGGAGTAAATGCTTAGGCATCGTTAGGAAGCTTGTTCCATAGCCCTGTTGGAGACATGAGAGGTTTTGTCTTGGTTCTTAGCTTTTCCGTTTTTGTTGTCAGTTTGTCACTTGTTGAGCAGTGAGGAGAGTGGCCGGCCAGCTGTTTGTGGTCTCTCACCCTGCGAGTGTCCTGTCTGAGCGGTCGCCTGGGCCGGTCCTGGGGTAGAGTGGGTGAGGGTGGGGCAGGTAAGGAGAGGGCAGTGTGCCCTGTTAGTAAACCCGGAGCAAACCCTGGTCTGCAGAGCTGACCTGACTTGTGTCACATCCCTGAGCCTGGTCCACCTGCTCTGGGCCTCGCACCACGCCGTGCACACGTGGATGCTCTTGTGCAGTGGCCATGCGGGCTACCTGCTCCTCCCGGGCATGCAGGGTGGGCCCTCCTGGATTCTCCTCACAGTCCGTGGACTGTGGCTGCCTGCAGGAAAGCAAATTCTCCTAGGGCCTGGGTCACGGGGCTGCCTCCCTCGGGCACCATGCCCTTCTACGGGAGGGGGCTATTGCGGTCCCTCCTAGAAGCTTGGCGTGATTCTCCCCATTTCAGACCACCCGACTGATCCAGGAGCAGCCTCAGGAGGCACTGGACCTGCCGCCGCCACCACCGCCACCACCACCGTCATCACGGAGCCAGTTCCTGGAGGACAGTGAGGACCACGGCCGGCGCTCTTACAGGTGGGCTGGGGGCAGGACCACGGCCACTTGTTTCTCAGTACGCTTCAGATGATCCAGAGCAGGGTCTGCCCCTGCTGTGTGGTATGACTGGAACCTACCCCAAGTCCCCTGAAGGATGTGGCCTACAGAGAGCAGTAGGTGACTCTCCTGCCCAGGTTCCCGTGTCCAAGCGATGGACGCCCTGTTGGCTCTGCTCACACTTGGGTTGCGGCCGTTGCATTCTGGGAGGAGCCTGGCCCAGCCTCCTCTCCCGTCCACCAGTGAGCACAGTGGACCTGAACAGACGAAGACGTGCTGACAGACTCTGCTTCGGCCCTGCGTTCAGAGCGACCCGCGCATGTCAGAGAGAAGCCCTGCCCTCGCCACGGCACGCTCCCCGTGGTGCTGCCTCCCTCGTGGAGGGAGGGTCTGCCTCTGTTCACTGACCCTCTGCTTCCTCCTGCACCACTGCCCTCCTCATGCTGAGGAGCACTGGAGCCTGCGTTTCCAGATCCAGCGTCCGCACCCTTGAAGGAGTTCTAATCTACTTCATCACCTTGGAGGGGGAGCCCACGACGTGACAGGCTGCTCAGAAGCTCTCTGTTGAAATCTGTTTTTGGGTTTTTTTTTTAATCATTTTATTGGGGGCTTGTACAACTCTTTTTTTTTTAAATCATTTTATTATGAAATCTGTTTTGTGAAGAGCGTTTTAAGCACCAAGAGTTTATTCACTGACGTTTCTAGATTCTGAGTGACAGACAGTACTCTTAAAGCCATGACCTGTGGCTGGTGAGAGGATCACCCTGGCTGAGTTTCCTTCCTGGTCTGTTAGCAATGGGGGCTTGTTGGGATCTGGGACGCGTCCTGGTGCTGAGCTTGTGGACACGCTGCGGCCCAACCCCCAGGCGTCTGTGTGGACACCAGGAGCCCTGTGTCTTGCTTCCCTTGTAGGATCTCAGGAAAGCACACTGCACCTGTGACTGCGTGCCAGTCACTCAGTGCTTACGGCGTGGAGCGTTTGCTGTTGTCTCTGCCGTCACAGCGCCGCTGACCGAGTCCACCCTCCTGGCCCGTGTCCGCAGGTGTGACTACTGCCACAAGGGGTTCAAGAAGTCCAGCCACTTGAAGCAGCACGTGCGCTCCCACACTGGAGAGAAGCCCTATAAATGCCGGCTCTGCGGGCGTGGTTTTGTCTCCTCGGGGGTCCTCAAGTCGCATGAGAAGACGCACACAGGTACTGCCCGCCTCCCCGGGACGGTCAGCCCCTGGGAGCCCTGGGTGTGCAGCCCCCCTCACTGTTTTCACTGCCCCGTAGTCGAGTGCTCAGTGTGCACTGACCGACATGTGGGTTGGGCTCAGCTTGGGGCCAAGGTTTGCGTGAACCTGTGTCCAGTTGTCTTGGTGAGTGTCTTCCATCCCGTGTGCTGTGTGGGCACTTGCGTCTCTTCTCTGCAGAAACGTCTAAGTCCTCTGCAGTTTGTTCTTGGGCGGCGAGAGTTAAGCTGCTCTGGGGGTCGTGTCTTATCAGAGATCAGAACTGCAGCTGCTGCTCCAATTTTCTGGGACCTGGCCTGCCCACACCTGGCCTTGTCGAGGCTCTGGTCCTTCATTTGGGATGTGTCTTCCCGGAGGCAGTTAGTGTCTGCAGACAGGCTCCTGTGCTTAACACCTCGCCCCTCCAAAGAGCAGGAGACTTGAGCCACCAGGCGGTCTTGGGCTTTGCGTCTCCATGCACGCTCTCTGCCTGCTTGTGTGTGGTTGTGATTTGAAGGCTGGGGACTTGGTCTCTGGGCTCCTGTGACTGTGCTGTGTGCCCTAGGGGTGAAGGCTTTCAGCTGCAGCATCTGCAGCGCCTCCTTCACCACCAACGGCAGCCTCACCAGGCACATGACCACGCACATGAGCATGAAGCCCTACAAGTGCCCCTTCTGCGAGGAGAGCTTCCGCACGACCGTCCACTGCAAGAAGCACATGAGGAAGCACCAGGCGGTGCCGCCTGCCGTGCCCGCCAGCAGCGAGCCAGGAGGAGGAGGTATGGGCGAGGGTGTGGGGTGTGGCAGCAGGTGCTGAAGGGCTGAGCCCGTGTCTGAAGGTAGTGTGGCAGACTTGGGGCTTCGTGGTGCATCAGGAGACCCTCTAGACGAACTGAGGCTCACGAAGAACTTGGTCATGGCCCCGCTTTCCGCCTGCTGGCCTTCAGGGCAGACGTGGGGAGGGTCGGTGTCTGGAGTCAGAAAGTAGGGTTTCAGCTAGACCAGTGGTTCTCAACCTGTGGGTCGTGACCCTTGGGGGGGTGTCAAACAACCCTTTCACAGGGGTCGCCTGATTCATAACAGTAGCAAAATTATAGCTATCATAGCGACGAAACTAATGTTATGGTTTGGGGGTCACCACAACATGAGGAACTGCAGTAAAGGGTCGTGGCATTAGGAAGGTTGAGAGCCACTGCTCTAGATGCTGCGTGTGCCATTTACAACAGGAGTGTTCCCTCAGACGTCCCGTTTTATTAGAGACGTTGATCTTTTTATTGGGGGGTCTCACCTGTCCTTGGGGGGCTTGTCTCGCTGGCACCGGGGTGCTCAGTGGGGCGCTGTGGGCTGTGCCAGGGGCAGGCCAGTGGCTGCTGACTGAGCGGTGGAGGCCCAGGCTCCGGTCCATCTGCTCGGGTGGCTTGCTTTGCTATGAGCCGGGCCCTCACGGGCCGGGCCGGTGTCCCTGCAGACGTCTTCCTGGAGGAGGAAGAAGACTGTTCTGAGCGGAACCTCTCTCGGAAGTCTCGGCCCGAGGTCATCACCTTCACGGAGGAGGAGACGGCGCAGCTGGCCCGGATCCGGCCCCAGGAGAGCGCCACCGTGTCCGAAAAGGTGCTGGTCCAGTCGGCGGCAGAGAAGGACCGCATCAGCGAGCTGAAAGACAAGCAGGCCGAGATGCAGGCCGAGCCCAAGTACGCCAACTGCTGCACCTACTGCCCCAAGAGCTTCAAGAAGCCCAGCGACCTGGTCAGGTGAGGGCCTTGGAGACTCCTGGGGGCGGCTGGCACTGAGAGCGGCGGGCGGACGCCAGAAACCCTAGGGCACGTCGCGTCCTGGGAACCTTGATTACAGCCCTGGGAGGACAAACGGTGACCCTCGAGCACTGCCTGGGAGGTTGGCGAAGCAAACCCACAGCCCGAGTGCGGTGGACATGCGTGTGGAGGGTGTGAGCTGAGGGGGCCTCGCAGGGACTAAGTGTGTGGAGGCGGCAGCTCTACTCCCCGCCTGCACGCCCTCCTGGCTCTGTTGGGGGGGACACGTGGAGGCGGCACTGCCCTCGGCCGGCTCCTGTGTAACAGGCTGTGCTCACTGCCGGAGCGCAGGATCTGGCTCACTGCTGGGGTCCCCCCCACCACCGTGCTGTTGTGGTCCCTCGGCGAGCGTGCTCCCTAGCTCTTGGAGTGGCTGACGCCACCCCAGTCTTTGGCTCTTTGTACTTCTCTGACTGCCCACCTGTTTTCCTTCCGTGATACAAAATGTTGCAAATTTATTGTTGAACTTTTTATTATGAATTAGATGGAGGGAATTATGCCTCAGATCAACTGTGTATCCACCCGTTCAAACCACTCCTCAGCCCGCCCCACCCTGACTTCTCATCTCCCCCTTCCCCCAAGTCCATTCTTGCCAACTGTCCAGTCTGCTGCTCACCCCTCCTCCCTGTGCAGCCTTTGTCTCATCTCCCTCAGTGTCTGTCCCACACCAGTGTCCTCCAGTCCTTCCACGTCCTGCGGTGCTGCGTGGCTCCCACTGTCTCTCGGTGGCATGGAGTCCCCACTGGGAGCGTGGACCAGAGATTCTGTGCGTGTGTTTGTGCTGCTGTGCCTGTGGGGTTTCCGACGTGGCCCTCCTGTGTGCGCCGTGCGCCCGGGCAGGAGAGTTGATGGCCTTGCTTCTCTGAGGTCACACCCAGCACAGGATGCTGGGGCCCGTGGAATCCCTACCCCCAGTTGTTGGTGGTGGTGCCCTACTACGTCATCCCCATACCCACACCCTGCCCAGCACTGTTGCTTCCTGTCTCTGAACCAGGCTGCTGACCTGGGCTTTGTTTGTTCGTGGATCTCGATGCTTTCTCCTGACTGTGGAAGAGGGCCTTCTTCCTGTGGCCAGTGGCTGTGAGGAATCTGAAGCTGTGCCTCTTCTTTTCATTTGTCATGGAGTCTTCGGTTGTCTGTTAGGGTTGGCTTTGGGCAAGTCTTTCTGCAGACGTAATCAATACATAAGTTGCAGCTCTCTGTCTCCAAGGTGGTTCTGACTTTGAACCAAGGGGACACAGTGGAGCTGCCCGTGTGGTCAGGGGCTGTCACCCTACGGGAATCAGACTGCCTCACTGGAGCAGCTGGTGGGCTGGACCCCCTGCTGTTCTGATGAGCAGCCCCCAGGGCTCCGTGACTGACGTTCCCGTAGACGTGAGTGGTGAGGGGTTTCCTCACAGGAGGTCTTGCACAAGCATGCCCATGTCTAGGAAGGCCTGTCTGACTTGCCATGCTTTGACAGGCACGTGCGCATCCACACCGGCGAGAAGCCCTACAGGTGTGACGAGTGCGGGAAGAGCTTCACCGTGAAGTCCACGCTTGACTGCCACGTGAAGACACACACAGGTGAGCTGCTGCACAGGCCACCCTGTCGTTACTCCCCCCCCCCCATTTCCCAGCGTTTTGCAGACACACATCCCCAGGGCAAGCGGAGGCAGTTGGTCAAGGCTCGCATCTGCAACGTCTTCTCTTTATACCAGAGCTTCAGTGCTGCCCTTAAAACAGCCTCCTCGGGGCCTGCGGTGGGCAGAAGAGAGGCAGGCAGGCCCCTGCTGAGCCCTGTGGGCCGGCAAACCCACTGAGGGGGTCCCCACCCACTGTGCTGCTGAAGGGAGACCTGGAAATTATCTCTCCATCTGCCCTGAGTGGAGGAACCCAATGTGAGCCATGTGCAGGCAACAGCCCCTTGCCTTGCCGATCCCCAGCAGCATGACCCAGCGGCCAGGAGGGCGGGGCTGGGCCCCTGCCAGGTCTGGGTTCCAGCAGCCACGTGTCTGATGGTGTGTCCCTTCCTTCATATGTACCTGTGGACGAGGAATAGTTCCCCCTCATTGGGTCATAAACACGCCCCAACATCTAAGCCCCCCACAAACAACCACCTGTGTCCAACGATGTGAAGGCCATGAGGAGCCAACTCAGGTCCATCACGAGGGGCCCCGGGCCTTTTCTAAGTTCAGAATTGTGAACGAGAGGAGCAGATGCGTCTGGGTACTGTGGCTCACACACTGGCCTGGCTGTCTCAGCGGGTTCACAAGTGTGTCTTTCTGGGGACCATCAACCCCAGAGGACTGTCTGCAGGCCTCACCCACCTTCGTGCCCCCAAGCCTGCCGCCCTGGGGAGGTCAGGCAGTGCTGGGGTTGCGGGGGGTGGGAGGGTGGGGAGGGTGTCTCCTGGGCAGGCTCGGAGGTGGGCAGTGTCCAGTCAGGTCTGGGACAGCCGCCATTCCCGGGGAGCCTGGGACATGGGAAACGGAGACTGGTCCTGGTGGAGTCTGGGTTGGGACACTGGGGCCCAGCTCCTGGCCCCATGCCACTGTCCATGGTGCTCATCTTTGCAGCTGGCTGGTGCTCAGGGCCCGCCGGGTAGGGCGTGGACCTGAGGTTCACAGAGACAGGGAGCCGTGTTTGGGTGAGAGCAGAAGCGCTATGAGCCAGTGCCACCAGGACTCGGGGCCAAGAGCATTCTCTCAGCGGGGTCCTGGTGGCCGGGTGGCCCGCAGCTCCCTGAGCCACCTGCCCCTCCCCGCAGGTCAGAAGCTCTTCAGCTGCCACGTCTGCAGCAACGCCTTCTCCACCAAGGGGAGCCTGAAGGTGCACATGCGCCTGCACACGGGCGCCAAACCCTTCAAGTGTCCGCACTGCGAGCTGCGCTTCCGCACGTCCGGCCGCAGGAAGACGCACATGCAGTTCCACTACAAGCCGGACCCCCGGAAGGCACGACGGCCGGTCCCCCGGGGCAGCCCCGAGGGGCTGCAGCCCGCCAGCCTGCTCAGCCCCACCCCCTCAGACCCCAATGTGCTCATCATGAACCATTCTGTCCTCACGGGCCAATTCGACCAGCATCTGCTGCAGCAGGGACTGGTGAGCCAGGCCATTCTTCCTGCCTCCATGTCTGGTGAGTGCTCGGGGGTTGCAGGTAGGCAGCCGTGCTCCCGGGGGCTGCTCTTGTCTGAGTCTACCAGTGACTGCCCTTGGCTCAGCCTGTGGGCCTGGTGGGCTTCAGCAACCCCTTCCTCAGCGGGCCCCTCAAAGTCTTAGCCGTGGGTGGATCACGCCGAGGGCCTTCCCCTCTGTGGGCGTGTGCTGAGGGGTGGGGGTGGGGGGACCTTGGCTTTGCCGTGCCTTGCAAACACCAAGTGTTGAACCGGGTCAAGGAGGGAGCAGCCCTGCCTGGGCGAGCCTCTCAGCACCGTCTCGGACAGTAAGGGCTGGTTCCGGGTCTCTGTGGAGCTCCCGAACCTCCCTGAGGCTGCTGTGCACACAGTTGTCTACCGTTGGGCCTGGCCAGCCGGTGCTGCACTCTGGGGGCCAGCGACGCCAGACGGGAGACCCCTGTCCCTGTTCGCACAGGCAGTCATAGCGGATGGCTTTCAGGTGCCCTGGTGCCCTTTCCTGTCATGCTGACCCTGCCACTTGGGTTACCCCTGGGCCGGTCAGTTTAATCTCTTCCCACCTGCGTGGCTGGTGGGTTGGAAATGGACCTTGTTGGTAGGGACCAGTGAGTGAGTTCTGACCCTGGGGCCCATGGACAGCAGGATGACGGGGTCACTCCCGGTCCCGTGACCTGCTCACTGAGTCTGTGGTGTGGGGGCCGCCTCCGATCTCCTCAGGCTACACTAAGGGAGAAGGGGCGTCCAGCTCCACTGGCTGCTGTCCAAGGCTGATGGCCACAGACCTCCACCCTCCCGCCTCTGTTACCCTGCTCTGACACCGACCACTCCCACAGCACTCTCCTTTCTGTGGCCGATCGTTCCTTGTGGTACCACACAAAACTCACAGGCAAGACCGTTGCTAGGGGAGCTGACAGGTCACCACCAGTCAGGTCACTAAATGTCATGGGCCCTCAGCCAGCAGCCAGGTCTCTCTCTGGTCTTCAGCCTCTCAGCCACGTGGTGCTGTGGCCTCTGCCTCCTTCCATGGCCCAGGAGGCCAGCCCACTGCCCATTCTGATTGTGTCCTTGCCCTGGCCTCTGGTCTTGGTGTGTCTGGCTGCTGCTTCCCCTACCACTCCAGGCAGAGAGCTCCAGGCCACCCCTTTGGTGGCTTTTCCTGTCGGCGGTCCCAGGAATTCTCTCCCGGCTTCTGGGTTGCCTCATTCTTGTAGCCAGAGGAGTGGCACAACAGCCAGTCCCCGAGTTAGCAACACACACACACAAACACACACACACACACACACACACCACCCGACCCCACCCCACCCCACCACCACCGCCCCCTTGCACGGCCCAAGCAGTAGTACGTAGCGGGTGAAGAAACTTCCCTTGGGCACTCCAGCCGTGCCTCAGGCCATCTCCTAGACCTAGCGGGTTTTCCTCTCTGCCGATTGTCTGCTTTGCCGAGCAGGACGCAGACTGGCCTCTCCACGGTCTGCCCTAAGTACATGAGCTGAGTTTCACCATCCTCGCCTCAGGAGCGCTGTGGCCATGCCTCTCCCAGGCAGGTGTGTTTGCTGCGGCTGCCGTGTGCGCCCAGGGTGCCTCGCCAGCACCACGGTCCAAAGGCAGCCAGTCCTAGTCTGTGTCCAGCTGCCAGCCCGGCTGGGTCGGGCGTGCCTCGGTGCTCGGAGTGCAGGGCATGGGAGGGGTGGTGGTGTGCTGCCTCTCTGCGGCCCCCTTCACGTCCCACTCAGTGGTGCTCAGGCAGTGGATGGGAGGGCCTGGATGGTGCAGCACAGGACTAACGGGTTCAGACCCCCGCCCTGAAAACGAGTGCTTCCAATTTAAGAACTTGTTCTTCCTTGTCCCTTGCTTTGGCCAGCTGGTGGGGACTTGACGGTGTCGCTGACAGACGGTGGCCTGGCCACCTTGGAGGGCATCCAGTTACAGCTAGCGGCCAGCTTGGTCGGACCCAATGTCCAGATCTCTGGAATCGACACCTCCAGCATTAACAACATCACCTTACAGGTGTGAACCCCCTCCCCCTGCCACGTGGCACAAGTCTCCACAGAGCCTGGTGACCAATGCAGACTCCGTGCCATTGTGCCTGTCCCCTGCGCTCTGCAGATTGACCCGAGTCTCCTGCAGCAGACCCTGCAGCAAGGCAGCGTGCTGGCCCAGCAGCTCACTGGAGACCCCAGCCCGGCCCCCCAGAGTGGCTCGCTCCAGGCCCCAGACGGTGTGGTCCTGCAGCCCATCTCAGGCCTGTCTCTGCAGCCCTCGGCAACGCCGGCCAACCTGACCATCAGCCCACTCTCTGAGCAGGACTCGGTGCTGGCGGCCAGCGGCAGTGGTGAGACCCGTGCCCATGTACACTGTCACACTCCTCAGGCTGCGTCATAGGCTTTGTGAGGTCCCGCCTTTCTCTCAGCTGGCCAGCCCAGTGTCCTCAAGTTGGCAGCTCTCCCCTCCCCTGGGGCTTTGTCGGTGCTTGCCCGAGGGCTCTGCTTCGCACTCAGACCCACTGCCAGCCCCGCAGGCAGAACCGCCCCTTAGGGCTTCCAAGGCTGGAGTCTTCCGCCCACAGAGCAGCTGGTGGGCTGGCACCTCCGGCCTTCATATAGCAGCCACCTGCTGTAACTGCTCCCTGTACCACCAGTGCCCCTTAGGTGCCCTTTAGGGCCGGAAAACCAGAAAACCAGGCCTGTTGTCCTCACTCGGACCGGCTGGACTCACAGAGATGCACGCCTCGGGCAGAGCGAACTGCGGACTGCCTGCAGCATTCCTGAGCTGTCCAGTGCTTCAGCCAATGCACCACCAGGCTCCTGCTTCTCGCTGGTCCTGGGCTTCCCTGGGGGCTGATGTGCCCACACAGCGCCCCCCTCCTGTGGCCTGACCCTTGGCTCAGAGGAGGGCCTCCTCTGCTCTCCCTGATGCCACCCTTGCTTCCTCCGTCTCCCAACCACAGGGAACCAGGACCTCGCTCAGGTGATGACGTCTCAGGGGCTCGTGTCCACATCCAACGGTCCTCACGAGATCACCCTGACCATCAACAACTCCAGCCTGAGCCAGGTGCTGGCCCAGGCGGCTGGCTCCTCAGCGGCATCGGCGTCAGGCTCCCCGCAGGAGATCACCCTCACCATCTCAGGTCAGTCGGTCCCTGCGATTGATCGCAGTGTCTGCAGAAGGAGCAGTTGCCATGGGCACTGGCTGGAACCCAGAGCTGTCTGCTCCGCAGAGACCGACTCTCAGGGTGCACAGGGGCAGTTCCTTCCTGGCCCCTCGGGTCACCGTGAGTCAGAGCCCACTCAGGGCAGTGAGTGAGTATAGGGAGAGATGTCCCGCCCAGTGCTCCCGTCCCCTCGGGGTTGGCACGAGGCCACCCCAGCATGGCCCGCAGCTCCAAGTGTGGCTCTGCTCCGGTGACCAGGGCCCGCTCACTTCCTCGTTGTTTGGCAGGAACCACAGGGACAGGCTGTGGCTGCTTATAAGCAGGGGTGGGGGCCCAGGGTTCTAGCTGAGGGTGCTCGGCGCCCTGGGAGCGGTCTGGCTAACACCAGATTTGGCAGCGTTTTTTGTTGAGCTTTGTTACAAAGAAAGCATCATGTCTTTGGGGAGTCTCAAACTTGCCGTCTGGCTTTCGTGGAGCCGTGGGGAATGCAGGGTCCTGATGGCGTCGCGGCTGCAGGTTGGGCTGATACCTGCAAAGCTGCAGGCTCCGAGGGAGGGAGGGGGCTTTCTGCTCCTGCAGAGAGTGAGTTTGTCTGGACAGCTCACAGGGCCCTCTACCCCGTCTCACAGGCTGCGCTCAGCCAGCGTGGACTCCCTGGCAGCGAGCTTGGTGCTCCCGTGTAAAAGAGGACTGAGAGACACGTGGAGATGCATAAAGCACCGCTAGGGCAATTCTCCAGCCGTAGTCAGGCTGACGCCCTCCAGTTAACAGGAGCCTGGTCTGTATCTCGAGTCTGTCATGGAGTGGACTGTGGGGTCAGTTCGTTTCCGGGATCGGGCTGTGTGTTCCCACACAGAGGAGAGATTTGAGGATGGGCGCTCTTCTATGCTGGACACACATTAGGATGGAAAGTGCAAGTGTGTGCTGTTTCTGCCCATCACGTTTTGGGTGTCCTGCAGGTCAGGACCTCATCCCACACAGCTCGAATGGAGGCAGTGACCTCAACGGTGGCATGCGGCTGTCAGCCCCGCCCATCAGCAGCCCGTCCACAGCCGCCACCCTGACCATAAGCAACGACCAGCTGCTCTCCCAGAGCTCGGCCCTGGGTTCCCCTGGTACGCAGCCCCCACGGCCGGGGGGGGGGGGGGGGCTCAGCCTCCTGGGCACAAACACACCCCGTCACCCCTACGTGAGTGAGGGTCCGGGCCTCTGGAGTTTCCAGAGTGGGTGGGGTGCGGACAAACCATTTGGCTGAGGTGTGCACTCGGTGTGGCCGGCAGATGGCGACAGCATCCTTTGTCCCCCTGCGGCCCAGCGTGGTCCTTGCTGCATGCCTGCAGGGCGGGCTCTCTGCCACCAGCTGGCGGTAGAAGCACACGGTTGAAGGTGGGCGCGCTCTCGGGCTTTGGAGCAGACAGAGCCTCCGCTCAGCACACAGGCTCACGAGAAGCAAGCGGCAGTCAGGCGCCTACAGATCTGCCTGGTTGTCGTGAGCGCACAGACATTTGATTCATAAGTTTTTACATTTTTATTTGCGCTGAATCCACACAGCATACACTTTGGTGGTTCAGTCCTATCAAGGAGGATTGTACAGTCGTCACCACGGTCCGTTGTAGAATACTCTCCTCCCGTGGTGGACTCGCCGTTAAAAGGAGCTGAGCAGTCAGTCAGTCCTAGTGCTCCCTCCCTGCTTCCGTTGTCATAGCCATTTTGTTTTCAGTTTCTATATTTCCCAGTGCTTTAGACAAAATTCTCAATGCTCGGATAGATGAGGGTGCTGAGTCGGGACAGTTCCACGACTACCCAGGCTCTCTGAGACTGGGCCCTTGGTCCCTCTGGGGCCTGGACCCTCCGTGAGGACCACCTTCAGTTACACGGTGAATCGACAGGCCTGGCAGGGGTACAAAGGGTGGGTCCACGGTGACTTTGCTGGGAGACAGGCAGGGCAGCGATGGTGGGGTGGGGCCTTGCTGTTCCACCATGGGGACAGTGGTGTTCTCATGACACAAGTTGTCGAGTCGAAAACCGGTTATTTTCTCAGGTCACAGTGAAGGGCCATGTGCTCGAGGGGCAATGTCCTGCAAGAAGAGATGGTCGTAAGGGCCAGCAACATGGGGCATGCACAGTGGTGCCAACCTGTCTGGCCCTGACCAGCCCCTCTGACCCACTCTGCCTTTTCGCACCCCCCAGAACTGAGCACTGCCCCTGGGAGCCTGCCAGCCACCAGGCCCATATCTCCATCCACCATGTCCACGCAGAACCTGGTCATGGCGTCCTCAGGCATGGGCGGCGATGCCAGCGTCACGCTGACTCTGGCCGACACGCAGGGCATGCTCTCTGGGGCCCTCGACACGGTAACGCTGAACATCACCTCACAGGTGAGCACCCACACACCTCACCACCTGCCCTCGGGTCTCGGCTCCCCAGGTGGTTGGGTCAGTGCACACGTGTGCTTGAAGGGGCAGCGTCGTGGCCCGGTTAGTCTTGGTAGGAGGGCTGTTAGCCTGAACTGTGGGCAGGCGTGGCTGTGGCTGCAGTGGAATGTCTAACTGAGCCTTGTTCTTGCTGGGTGGCGAGGGGGCTGGGAGGGCCTGGCGGAGACCACTGAGCAGCTGAGGCCTCTCCTGGCTGTGGCGTGAGCACGTCCTACTGGCTGGTGCGTCACAGTGGGTCCTGCGTGAGGCATCCTGGGCTGGCCCACCTTCCTGAATAAGCTGCCACACACACTCAAGTATGGCCCTGGTGTCCCAGGAACAGAGTCGGTCTAAGGAGCCCTGGTGGTCAGCACCTCTCAGCTGCTCACCAGAAGCTTGCTGGTCTCCACCCACCCCTGCTCCACAGGAGCGAAGAAAGATGAGACGTTGTGCCGCCCTGCCTTGCAGCATCCAGCTGGCGGTGCCTGTCCCTTTCTTGTGGGCGGTGCTGGGCTGGCCTCTGCGAAGACCCGCTGCACTGCTCTTACCCTGTGCTTCTGTGGCTGTGGCGGGGACGCCCCCTGAAGTGACAGCAGGTCTGATGAGGGGTGTCTGCTCTTTCCAGGGCCAGCAGTTTCCCGCACTGCTCACGGACCCAACCCTCTCCGGCCCAGGCGGGGCCGGCTCCCCACAGGTGATCCTGGTGAGTCAGACACCGCACATGCCCTCCACTGGCTGTGAAGAGCTGGCCTACCAGGTGGGTGTTATGTGCACACAGCTCTGGTGCCTGCCTTTGTCACATGGTGGAGGGCAGGCAGATGGATGATTGGTACAACTACTGTGAGCGCCCGGTGTGAACACACGCTCCCTCATGGGTGTGTTTGCACCGTGAACTCCCAGGTGGGAGGGAGCATGTGAACTCCTGGCTGTGATGGTGTATGTGGACACGTGGGTGTGACTGTGCGTGGACCCACGACTTCTTGGCCCAGGTGATGGACGTCCCCTCAAGCCTGGCCAAGGGCAGCCCCCCGGAGAAGGAGGGCCGGGCACACGGGTGCCTGGAGTGCAGCCGCACCTTCCCATCGGCCGCTCTGCTGCTGCAGCACAGCAAGGAAGCGCATGGGCGGGAGCGCATCCATGCCTGCCGGCTCTGCAGCAAGGCCTTCAAGCGCGCCACGCACCTCAAGGTAGGGCCACACACACCGGACAGGCACGTCACTCCCACCAGGCGTGGCCAGGCCAGGCCAGGCGGCCATCCACAGCACTACTGAGTGCAGACCGGCAGCGCTGCCTGCAGTGGGCAGCTCCAGGGGCGGATGGACAGTCTACCTCTCACAGGCTGGCAGGCACATCTCGGTGTGTGGGGCTGTGGCTGAGTAAACTGAGGCACAGCTGCATCGCGGTGTTGATGCTGGCATGGAGTGTAGGGAGAGGGCTAGCTTAAAAACTCCTGAGAAGAGAGCTGTGCGCTGCCTGAGGTGGCTCTGAGTGTGGATGGGGGGGTGGTGGCAGCCAGTCGGCCGTGGGCTGCCGTCCCCCACAGATGGAAAGGACCACTGGGAGGGGTTCTCCCTCTTCAGTGGTACTATGTTCAGAGTTTTTGTTGTGAGTTTCGTGGCGGTCCAGAGTGGGTCACCAGTTGTACCCAATAGCCCTTGCCCATTTTGCTTCATCTCCCTGGTTGCTGTACCTGTGTGACTCCCCAACCCACTTCCTCCCTGCACCGCTGCCTCCGCCCCTCCTCCCCTGTCCCTGCTGAACTGCAACCTGCGCCAGGGCTGCCCTCGGGAGCTCCGGTGCTAGACTGTGCGCCTTCCGGGGGTTCCTGTTCCCCTTACATACCTGCCGCCCATTGTTTGAGCTCAGCCCCAGGCCTGGAGGTGACTAAGGGTCATGGTCTGGGGGTCCACTCATCTCCATCTGACCAGTGAGCCTGGCCTTTTCCATGATTTTGAGTTCAGTTCCACATTTTCCTCCGGCCTTGTCCAGAACCTTTCAGTGTGAGCCCTTTCAGAGCAATTGGCCATGGCTGCCAGGTACCCTCTAGACCTGGTCTCGGGGTGGAGACTGAGCTTTGTGGCCCATTGGGCACTGGCCTCGTCCCCTGGTGTGTGGCTGTTGGCGCCCGTCTTTGCTTAGGAAGAGGCCAGCGGTGCCCCAGAGTGGGGTGTGCAGCCCTGTCTGTGAACTGCCTCAGCTTATTTGTCATCACTCAGTTGGGGTCCCTGAGCCCCTGCTCAGATCTGAGCTCACAGAGCTTCACACAGGGAAAGGGATGGTGCTGAGACCCCTGGGCCCTTGCCTTGGCTTCGCTGGACAGTGTCCTGTAATTGCCGCACTCACCACCATGCCAGGGCATTGGCTGTACCTTTTAGTAGCCACCCCTCTACCTTTCTCCCCACTTATGCCCCCCCAGCTGCCCCTGTGCCATGAATTTCCCCAGCCAGGCACCCAGAGGTGGCCCTGGTAATCGGGAGGTGGGCCACGTGTTCTTGGTGCATCACACAGTGCCAACTTGAATCTGCCTCTTCTTTCTTGGGTGATGGGTTGAACTCCAGCTCCAAGCGGGACAGTGATGCTGGCGCATCTGGGTCACAGGCAGGTTGTTCTGGACGCAGGGCCTTGCCCAGCAGGCCTGGTACAGCCCACCTGGTTTTCTGGGTACTGATGGCCTAGTACAAAGGCCTGTGCCCATCGCTCACCCTCTGCTGCTTCTCCGCATCGTTTGCCCTTGTTGCTCCCAGGAGCACATGCAGACGCACCAGGCTGGCCCCTCGCTCAGCTCCCAGAAGCCCAGAGTCTTCAAGTGCAGTACCTGCGAGAAGGCCTTTGCCAAACCCAGCCAGCTGGAGAGGCATGGCCGAGTCCACACAGGTGAGGGGGCCAGGGCCGGCAGGGGCGGAGCATGCGGGGGCGGGAAGCTCCTCTGGGCCAGGCTTACCCACGCACGCGCTCTCACCAGGGGAGAGGCCCTTCGGCTGTGGGCTCTGCGAGAAGGCCTTCAACCAGAAGAGCGCCCTGCAGGTGCACATGAAGAAGCACACTGGGGAGCGGCCCTACAAATGCGAGTGCTGCGCCATGGGCTTCACGCAGAAGAGCAACATGAAACTGCACATGCGGCGCGCACACAGCCACGCGGGTAGGGTTGGAGTCTGCGTGCGCGAGCACGTGGGTGGGGGCGGAGCCTGCGTGCGTGAGCACGGCCACGCGGGTAGCTTGCGGCTAGGGGCGGAGTCTGCACGCCAGCACGGCAGCAGACACGTGGGCTGGTGGGCTTGCCGCTGTGGGCGCGCACGTGTGTGCACGTTTCAGCCACACAGGCAGAGCCGGCACAGGTGCATGTGTGTGCGAGTGTGTGATTGACAGTCACCCGGGAAGGGTCAGGTGAGCAGACTGCTGTGCTCGAGCCTGCCTATGTGCATTCTCACCGGCGGCACGCAGGCGCGGGAGGGTGCCCATGTGGGTTAGAGCACACGTTTCTGAGATCACACCTCTTTCCTTCTCCTCGAATGCGAGAGCCTCTACCCTGACCCCAGGTGCTGCCCGGCCTCCCACCCGTGAGGGTGGGGTCCTGTGGCTCACCCCTTACAGCATGTCTCCCCATGCTGACCCCTGCACACAGCGAGCCTGTCCCCCTCAAGTTGTTCCCCCCCACACTAGAAAAGCGTCCCCACAAACTGGGCAGGGAGGGGTGGAGTGCAGGTCACATGCTCAGTCGCCACTACTGCTGCCAGAATCCCCCCTGTAGCCCAAGCCAGCCTGTTGTCAGCGCCCCAGGCCAGACAGGCACCTCCGGTGGCTGTCCCCAAAGCCCCCCCAGTGCGCGATCTCCTGCCCTTTGCCCACAGGCACCCTGCAGGAGCCTGCCGGCCCCCCGGAGCAGGATGGGACCGAGCTGGGCCGGACACTGCACCTGGAGGTGCAGGAGGCGACGGGCGAGTGGCAGGCCCTGGCCAACGTGTTCTGACATCGGCCGCGCAGACTGCGGAGCGTTCTGAGGCCGTTCTGTACGCGCACGCACCTGGCCTTGTGTCCGGAAGCACCTGGCCTTGTGTCCGGAAGCTTCAGTGTGAGAAGCGTCCACGTGACAGTTTTCACGTGAAATTATCTGCGAATCAGTGTCTTTCAGAGAGTTGGGGAGATGACGTGGCCAGTGCCGCCGGGTCTCCAACCACTGAACTCAGGGCTCTTCCGCCACGCCGGGCAGCCGGGCGCAGACAGGAGCTGGCCGCCAGCGGAGCGGGACGACGGTGTTGGCAGCACGGAGCGCGCCGCGCGACCTCGGGCTCCGTCCGCGCCCGGCCCAGCGCGAGGGCAGGGAGCTCGGCAAGCGCCGTGGCTCGCGGTCAGCTCTTCTCGCCGGGCGCTTTGGAAGCTGGTAGAAAGGGTCCCTTTTAGCTGCAGGGAGTCCAGCCAACACCCCGAGAGATGGCTGGCCCAGTTCTCTCGTCCACGCGGCCAAGGACAGCCGTACCCAGGGAAGGTCAGACAGGGTCGCCCTCCTCGGCCAGCAGAGGGACGCGCCGCGCAAGCTTACGGATCCACGGGCGCCGCTGGGTGCTCTGCCCTCGCGCCAGCACGCGCATTCTACTTCAGGGACCCCTTTAGCGTCACCCTCGGTGCCACATGAGACACGTACGTCACTCTGAACCCCGCCCCACCCTGGGT